AAAGAATATGAAAGAAGAAAGGGCTATGGGGCTGGGGATGTGGCTCAAGCGGTAGCGCGCTCGCCTGGCATGCGTGCGGCCCGGGTTCGATCCTCAGCACCACATACCAACAAAGAGGTTGTGTCTGCCGAGAACTAAAAAATAAATATTAAAAATTCTCTCTCTCCTCAAAAAAAAAAAAAAAAAAAAAAAAGGCTAGTCCATAGCTGGGCAGTTTGCTAGTAACTTTACCAACACCTTATATTTATTACAGCCACTGGTGAACTGAAAAAGTCCAGGAAAGGTTGCATCTGCTTACTGGCTGATGTTACTTCTGGGAATTCAGCTTCTTTCCTGGCTCTCTGCTTCCAGTTCTTCACCTCCATCTCTGTCTACCTGCATATTATCTCAGTGCTCACCCGTCTGTGCTGAGGTTGGAGCAGACCCACTGACTCCACTTTGGGAGCATGGCAGCTGACAGCACTGCTGGCAGAAGCTGCTTTCTGTCCCTCAGGAGGCCAGCTTCTCAAGTACACTCACAAGCCAGAAAGACTCAGGGACTGTGTAGATGAAATAATCAGGGTTTAGTGAGGCTGTGATTTGCCCAAGCCTACACAGCAATCAGGTGGAATTAGGATCAGCACCTTACCCTGTCATTTGGTCACTGGTTCTTCCACCCCATATCTTCTTTATTAAGTCTTCTGCTTTTTTCTTGAATTCCAGACCCTAAGAAGTCAGCCAGCCGCCCTGGGAGTCGGGCTGGGAGTCGAGCCGGGAGTCGTGCCAGCAGCCGGAGAGGAAGTGATGCCTCTGACTTTGACCTTTTAGAGACGCAGTCTGCTTGTTCAGACACTTCAGAAAGCAGCACTGCAGGAGGCCAGGGCAGCTCCAGAAGAGGGCTCACCAAACCTTCTAAAATCCCGACCATGTCCAAGAAGACCAGCACTGCCTCCCCCAGGACTCCTGGGCCCAAGCGATAACGCTGTACAGGCACCCATGCCGCTGTCCTCTTTGAATCCTGCTCCACACATTGGGTGTATATTTATTCTGAACGGGAGAAGTTATATTGTTAAAAGTGTAAAAGAATAATTGTGTTATGAAGCTGCCTTATTTTTTTTCTTTTTGTAAGTTACTATTTTCATGTGAATATTTATGTAGATAAAATTTGCCTCCTGGTAACCCTGTAATGGATGGGGTCCAGAAATATTTGAGAAAAACAAGTGAAAAGGTCAAGATGCGAATGTGTATTAAAAAAAAAAAAAAGCCTCTTAATAGGGTTTCTGCGTGGTGCAGGGGTTGTAAACCTGCTTTATCTTTTAGGATTATTCCTAAATGCATCTTCTTTATAAACTTGACTTGCTATCTCAGCAAGATAAATTATATTAAAAAAATAAGAATCCTGCAGTGTTTAAGGAACTCTTTTTATAAATCACAAGACACCTCAATTAGCAAGAACTGAGGGGGGAGCACCTACTGCATTTCCATTGTTTTAATGTTGTATGATGTTAACTGAAGAGAGGAATCCTAATCTAGGTGGCGTTTCCACAGGATACAACAAAGGAGTTTATTGCAATACTGTCTTGGAGTACTGTCTCAGTACTGGGTGTTTAAAGGACACATAGCTGCTAGAATTCAGGGGTAAATGTAACTGTTCATAAAACGTCAGAACATTGGGGTTTTAAACTGATTTGTAATTATTCAGCCTTGCCACCAATTACTCCTGTACTCACCAGGACCCAGACCTTTGGTGAGGGAGAATCCTTAGTGGCATTGCGAATTACAGATTTGTTTATCTGGCATTTTTTGCTGTTTATTCAAATGGTCGATCAACTTCCCACAAACTGAAGAATGAATTCCATGAGCCTATTCTGAAAATGTGGGCCTCAGACAAACACTTGCTCATTCTCTGACAGAGCTCACCAGCACACTCGTTCACCAGTCCTGTCTGCTTCTGTCTTTTTTTTGTGCGTAATAAAGTCAACTGACCAAGTGACCACAAAGAGGGGCAGTCTGGGGCTCCTGTTTTTTAGCTGCTGTTCCTCTTACAGCTCCGACCATGTTGCTGTGTGATTATCTCAATTGGTCTTAATTGAGGCAGAAACTGAAGCTCTACCAATGAACTGTTTAAAAACAAGACTCATTTTGTATTAAAATTGCTTGCAGTAACAATTGTTTTGTAATTCCTGATTTTATTTTCAATCATTATCTTATATTTAAGTGTTCCCTAGTGTATAATAGTGTTGTAGGTACTTAAAATACGTTATTCAAATCGAGTATCTTAATGGATCTAGAACTTGTTGACAGTTTAATCCTTGTTAATTTTGTTTAACAAGGCAACAAATATACACAGGTTTGTAGAGAATCTGCCCCACTTACATGATTAAACTAATAGCAATGTGTAAAAATTTCATACATTAGAAATTACAAAATCCTGGGGTTTGAGGCAATGGGCCAGTTTCCCATAATATGCTGAAATCTGTTTAAATGGTAGAATTTCAGAAGTGGAAGCAAAATTGGTCATCGTTTTACCATACAGAAGGCTTGCTTTGCTCCCCAGACTCCATGCCAGTGAAAGAAAACATCTTTTTATTTTGGAAGACGAGGATCTACAGGTTTAAGTAGGAAGTTGGGCAGAGATACCGTTTCAAATGTGTCCAGTTTAACTCCTTTGTTTTCCTATATGGAGAAAATGAGTGAAGAGTGATTTCCCTGAAATCACAGAGTGAGTAAATGGCAGAAAAGCACTTTAAACCTGATCCTTGACTTCTTTAAGTCTGGCATTTCTCTTTCCTCCAGCCTGTAGTTGGCTTTAAATGAGAAGAATAACCAAAATTAACTAATTCTAATAACATGAAAAAGACAACATGATAGGAAGGGCCCAAACTCAGACCATCAATATTCTTGGTCATCAGACCACCTTCCCATTATGATACAAGAATTTGGCAAAATATCAAAATATATTTACCAAAGCTGTTTTGAGGCCTAATTTCCAGATTAGGGAAGTATACAACTTGATGGGTCCCAAGGAAGTGCTTAGGGTTCTTCAAGCTGCCAGGACTTTGCAGAACTTTTCACCCCCATGGACTTCTGCCTCTAGGCCTCCTGGCAACAGAAGCATGCTAAGTCTTTCCAGTAAAGTTCAGCAGTGGTGGCACCCAAAGAAAGTGTATTTCCACTCAACAAGTACCTGTATGTGAGACCATGTACAAAATAGACCAGAACAAGGGTTGAAATAGAATTATAGTTCTGAAAAATGGTTTAAAAAATGTTCATGTCTGTTAGGGTCTTCAATGATGTGATAAAAACAGTTAACGTTTATTGAGTACTCACTGCAGACCAGTGATTGTGCCAAGCACTGTGTACATTCTCATTTAATACTCATCCCAATCCTAAAATCACAAGTTCCCTTTTATGGAAGAGAAACAGCCAGAGTTAAGTAACGTTCAAGTCACAAAGCCACCAACCAACTGGGGAAAATCCTCCTTTTGACTACTTTCTCCAAGAAACTCTCCACACCTCAGTCCCCTCCCAGGTCTGCTGGTCTGGGGTTCCACTCATACTAATTGGCCTTCACTTCATGGCTTCCCCTCCTCTGCTCTTCCAGGCTCTTTGTTGGCTGGGAGTGCAGCTTTCATTTTGCCTTTGAAATGACCAATTTGGTCAATGGCCACTTTCGTTAAGTGAGGACAGCTCAGGACAGGGTCTCATTTGCTCATCTCTGGCTCAAGGCCACCCACTCAACAACCACCCTGGTTGTTGAATTGTGGGCTGAATCCTTTTGAGAGTCTAAAACCTGCTACTTTTAGGTCTACAGAAAAGTGAAGCCATTGTTGGGAGACATAGCTATCTTCACTCATCATAAATCAAGATAAATGGTTTCTGTCCTAAGAATCAGCCCAACACTGGGCTGCTTGCTGTCTAGCTAGGAGCCAAGCATTGCACAAAACATTACCTGGAAGTTACCAGCTGGACGAGAGGCTCCAAATGCTGTGGTGTGGGTTCATGGGGATGCACAGGGTACAGAGAGGACAATGAAGGGGAGGTGGCCAGGAGACTCAGCCCCTGACCCAGCTGACAAGAACAACCCCTTGAATCTGCCCTCCTGTCCCCAGAACCTGTGGATTCAGTCTCCTAAACAACTTTCTCCTCTGCCTCTCCATCCCATCACCATGAAGGGTTCATTGTCAGTCCCCTCTTTTCCCAACTGCTGCACCTGCCCCCAATTCCAGACCCTGACTTCAGTCTCCCTGTAATCAACGTTCTCTGCATTCTGGCTCTGGTCTCAAATTGGTCACTTTCCACATTATCCATAGGTTAAAATTCAGTGTCTTTATGGGGCTTGCAAGGAGTGTGGAAATTTTTTTGTTGGGTAATAGAAAAACTAGACACTAACAAATGATTACATTACAATTTTAGTGGAGACAGGAGGATTGTGAGTTTGAGAACACCCTGGGCAACATAGCAAAACCCTGCCTCAGAGGAAAAAAAATTAGTCGATATTTAAAACCTTGAAGTTACCAATCAAAATGTGGTTTGGTTGGACATTATACCTTTATTTGGAGGTTTAAATTTGAATTCTCATGGGAGACATCATAATTACTAGGTGCCCAAGGACCTTATGTTGCTCCCTGCAAGGCCCTTTGTGGTCTATCCCTTGGCAGCCCCTCCAGCCTCTGTTCCTGGATCTGCCCTGCTCTCTGGGTTTCAATGAACAGCTAACCTCTAGGTGACCACCTGCCCCAGGCCAGCTCCACTGTTGTATCAGCTGGGGAAAGTCCCTTACCCTCAACTTCCTCATCTGTTAAAAAGAGGGATCCAGGGGCTGGGGTTGTGGCTCAGTGGTAAAGTGCTTGCCTAGCACACGTGAGGCTGGGTTTGATCCTCAGCACCACAAATAAATAAATGAATTAGATAAATAAAAGTGTCCATATACAACTAAAAATATTTTTTTTCAAAAAGAGGGTTCCAATTGTGTGCACCCCATAACAATAATATTAACATTACAGAACGGTACAGGACACACACTCTACATGCCTGGCAAGAGGCAGTGCTGTTACCTGCCATTATGATGCTCCCTGGAATCTAAGGGTCTTGACACAGGCCATTCCCTCTACTGCAGCACTTTCCTCCCACTGACATTTCCGGTCCAACGGAGCCAATTCCTTCTAGCCTTCGGAGCTCAGTTTAGGTGTCAGAGGCAGGCTAGCTAGCATCTGTAGCAAGACTAGGATCAGCAGTAGTGAACGCAGTGCGCACGCGGGGCCCGCTGGGTGGGCGCATGGGGAGAATAGATTGAGCACGCGTTGGAGGCCTCCACAACAGAGCACACAGAGAACCGCGAGGACTTCCAGAGACCGCAGAGAGCTGTGTTAGTTGGGACCCGAGGCCCGCTGCTGCTGGCAGAGGAACGTGCCCCTCCTTCGAGGTGTAGTTGCGCAGCTCCTCCAGATGGCACCTGAAAGTGCAAGTAAGGCCGGTTAACGTCTCCCGAGCACTAAAGTGCGGCTGCGGGTCTCACGGCTGGCTGGACCAGGACTTGGGATCTCCGCCCCGCTGGGCGCTGGAGGACACGCCCTGCGGAGCGCCAGGTGCCTGCTTTTCCGAGACTGTGCCCAGACCCAGGGTTCTTCCGCAACGAGGCCCTGCATTGCTCTCATTCAGGTGGGTGGGGAACCCAGGACCATCTCGATGACGCTGACGCCAGGTCTACCTATGAAACTCTCCACTGCCCACCCACCCGCAAACACAGGGCTGCACCTCGAGTTCCTACCACCCGCAACTCCAGCAGCAACCCAGACCCTTCCAAGGCGCAGTTTCTGCTCATGGTCCCCGCCCCTGTGTCCCATTGGTCTATCTCGGGGAGGAGGCGGGGCTGAAGAGCTGCACCGACGGTCCCGCAGCTAGGAGGTAACTGTCAGGTCTGCGCTGCCGGGATTGCCACCGAGTTCGCCCGCTGTCCCTGCCCGCTGCGTCCTCAGCTGGCGGGATCGACCGACGGCAACAGACTGATTAGTCCCAGTCTCTGCTGTAGCCTATGCCTTGTGGCTGCGGCGGCCGCTTCCCCACATCCCCGAGCCCAGACAGGTGCCGCGCGTAGGGGGTTCTGGGGATTCCCTGAGACCCCGGGAGACGCCCGTTGTGTCTCCGGGACCTCAAAAGCTCAGTCTGCTGCTCGCCGTCGGGGCGTTCCCAGGCCGGGCTACGGAGCAGATGCGCTCGGGCTGAGTACTCCGGACCGGCCTGCCATGGCCTGGCGCCCCGCACAGCTCTGGCTCTTGGGCCTGGCGCTGTGCGCGCTGGGAGGCAGCCCTGGTCCGCGCCCCCTGCACAGCTGTCCCCAGCGACGGCTGGGCGATCGAGAACACCGCGACATGCAGCGTGAGATTCTGGCGGTGCTCGGTTTGCCTGGGCCACCCAGGCCCCGTGCGCCACCTGCTGCTGCCCGGGTGCCCGCATCTGCCCCGCTTTTCATGCTGGACCTCTACCACTCCATGGCTGGCGACGACGATGAGGATGGTGGGTCCCCGGAGCGACACCTGGGTCGCACCGACCTGGTCATGAGCTTTGTCAACATGGGTGAGTTGCAGGGGGCCCCAGGATGGCGTCAAGGACCCGGGGTGTGGCGGCCTCAGGCTGGCACTCCTGGGAGTGAATTGGGCTCCAGGAGAATTTGCGAATCCTTGGACAAAAGTGCCAAAACCTGCCCTGGGCAGGTAGTCAGGGATCTGTGACAGGACCTGTGGAGGTCAGGGGGAAGACTAGTAGTCAGGAGATGGAAGGTCTAAGAAGTGGCCCAGGTTCCCTGAGCTGTGAGGTGGACAGGAGCAGGCAGGATGTGAACTTCCAGGGGATACATTCACCCTGTCTCCAACCACACCCAGGCTTAGGGATCCAGTGATGTTGGGACCCACCTGGGTGGTACCAGGAAGACAGTTGGTCCTGAGAAGACTGGTGAATAGAGGCTGTGATACTGTTAGTGTGATAAGGGCTGTACTGAGGAGAGGGACAAAGTTCAGTGTGAAAGCCTGTGGTCATCATCAAAGTGACCAGAGCTAACTGACAAGCCTGAGTCCTCACATAGCAGATTCTTCCCTGTGCAGCACTGAGCCTGTGGGTGGAGTGTGCTCTCAGGGAGGGGCTGGGGAAGGAGTGGACAGACAGCTCCCTGCACCTGGGCTGTGGCCTGGCAGGGAGTGAGTGTCCAGGACTGTGAATGACCCAAGGGACAGCTTAGACCCTCTTCTTTCCCCCAGAAAAAAACTTGGCTCTTCCTATCTGCAGAAACCTCTCCTAAAGATCTCAAAGACATTTCCCTCTACTACTCTTTATTTATTTATTTATTTATTACTTATTTTTGTAGTTGTAGATGGACAGTGTGCCTTTATTTTATTTGCTTTTTTTTTTTTTGTATGTGGTGCTAAGGATTGAACCCAGTGCCTCACCCATGCTAGGCAAGCACTCTGCCACCGAATCTGAGCCACAGCCACAGCCACAGCCTCCTCCCCCACTACTTTTGAATGTAGAGTCCTGAGTATTTGCTGCTGGTCATATCCTTCATGCACTTTGTCTCCTGTCTGTGGCTAGTGACAGGTAGGGGCCTGGGCTGGGACAGGCAGCAGGCTGGGTCTGGGGACCAGGTGATGCGGTGAGAGCAGGGACAGGACCCTTGCTGTGACTGCCAGCCCCCTCCACACAGAGCATCACTCCTGATTCTCCTGTGAACAGCCATGGTCTCCATCCCTACCACTCAGGTGAGGACACAGGGACCCAAAGAAGCAAGGGTACCACTAGGATAGACAGCTTCTATGTGGCCTAGTCAGGACAAACCTAGATTGTCAGGGCCTTGGATTCCAAATCCCATCTTCTCTGCATGTCTCATTGGGATCTGGGCCTCTGAGGCTGGGATTAACAAGCAGGTCTTTGTGCAGCCCTGGCTGTGGGCGGCACCCTCAGAAGGGCCTTCTTTATTCTGATGCACTCACTGCACTCTAGAACTCTCTCAGCCAGAGTAGTTTTAACTGGTAATTACCAAGGATGTAGGTGGGGATTAGACACGAACCAGGATCTCTTCCGTGTTAGAGGCCCAGGCCCAACCCCAAAGATTGGGCCCCAGAACCACTGTGGGGTCTAATAGCAGAGTTGCTGTGGTGCTGACCCAGCTCCCCACCTGCTACCTCCAGCTCCACCTCTCCTGTCAGCTTCATCAGGCCCAGGAAGTGAGGCCTGTCCCTCCAGGTCCCTGACTGTTGATGGCAGTCTATGGGACACAGAGCTGAGGTCTCATGAGGGCCTCCCACCAAAGCACAGGCCCCTTGGGGAGCAAGTGCCTTGGGAAGCCCCACATGATTTCCAGGACCTGCATTGGGAGTCAGGGCTGTGGTCAGAGCTGGTGACCCTGCCCCACTTGTCTGTCTATTCATTCATTCATTCACTCAACAACAGCCTGTAGACCCTTAGCTCCCCTCAGTCAGGATGAAGAAATGGGACTATTACTGTGTGGAGCAGAGGGGTCCTGTCCCTGGTCTCCCTATGCTCAGGCAAGGCACAGCCCTGAGGTTCTTGTACCACCACCTGGCCTCCCCTTACTTCCTGCATGTCTGCATCCATTATCTGTACCTTTGCATCTCATCCAGTCTGCAGGGGTGATGTTGGATTAATGAGATGCCTCCCATCCCTGATCCTGGGCTCTGTATCAGAGGAACCTTCTCACAGCTCTGCTCCACTCCTGTGCTCGAGCTTCTCAGACCTATCTGGCCTCTTCTGATGGAGGAAGGACCAATTCTGCATGTTCTTCCTGAATCCTTCCCCACCTGGCGTCAGTGGAGAGGCAGGTGCCTGTGTTCCAGATTGAGAAACTGAGGAACAAACAGCACTAACAGGCAGCAGTCTAGGCAGGTTCGATGGTGCCATCTGTGCTTTTGCCCTGACCCTTTCCTGAACCAGACTAACTTATTCCTGTGGTCCCAGCAACCAGGGACAGGGGTGGTGATGAACTGAAGTTGTTGGATTTGGAAGAACTAGGGCTGAGTGAAAATTAGGGACCTGGTGAGTCCTGCTCTACTCTTGCCTGTCTTGTGACCTTGAAGGATGATACTTCTCCCCATGGGTTTCGGGTCTCTTCCTTTGGTTCTTATTAAAAAAAAAAATATATATATATATATGTTGTAGTTGGATACAATACTTTCATTTTATTTATTTATTTTTTACATAGTGCTGAAGATTGAACTCAGTACCTCACACATGCTAGGCGAGCGCTCTATTGCTGATTCTTTACTGGGAAATTCTTTCATTTTCCGATTCATTCATTCATTCATTCACTCAACAAAGAGTTATTACTACCTGTAACATGCCAGGGCTAATTCTAGTTGCTAGGGACATAACAATGCTGACCTTTCAGTGGAGAGACAAATAATAAATGCATGAGCCACAGATAATTTTCAGGTGTGCTAGACTGACCCTCCCCTGCCCTGAGCAATAGCAAAGCAGACAGGACTGGGTCAAGAGATTCTGACTTAGGAGTCACACAGGCAGAATTTGCATGACTCAGACACTTATTCTCAATGTGATCTGGGCTTTCCTGTCCATCCATCCAAACCTCAGTTTCCTCCACTGTAAAATGGAGCTACTCATTTTATGGGGCTGTCAAGGATTGTGTGAGATGCTACTCAGTGATGGGCTTATGCCCAGAACCTCCACATCTCTTTCAACATTTTGCATCTTACACATTGCTGTCACAATTGGTTTTTAAAAGAGGAGATTAGAGCCAGGTGTAGCAGCACATGCCTATAATCCCAGTGACTCATAAGGTTGAGATGGGAGGATCTCAAGTTCAAAGCCAGCCTCAGCAACTTAGTGAGACCCTGCCTCAAAAATAAAGTGCCCCTGAGTTATATCCCCCTTACAGAGAGAGAGAGAGAGAGAGAGAGAGAGAGAGAGAGAGAGAGAGAGATATTAGGTGATTTTCCCAGGGCCACATGGCCACATAGCAGGTCATCTTCCTGCTTTCACATCCTGGGGCCTGGTCCATCTACAGATGCAGTGAATGCTGCTTAATTAGTCAAAATATGAATGTGGGTTCTAAACTGAGAATTTGTTTTTAATGTGTCTTTGTTGTTCTGATATTTATAGAAGTAAAGCATACTTACTATATAAACTTTAGACCATACCAAAACATAACGGTCTCCTCTGGGAATCTATTCCTATCAGCCAGTCTCCCAAGTAACTACTTTCTGATTTCTATCACTATAGATTCATTTGGCCTGTTTTATAAACTTCATATAAATGTAATCATATAATGTATAATTTTATGTCTAGCTAGTCTTTCACTAGACATATTTTTTTTAAGATTCATCCATGTTCTTGTTTTATCACTGAGTTGTATTCCATTGCACAAATAGACCAGTTTTTCCCTTTTTTTTTTTGGAGGGTGGGGGTACCAGGGATTGAAGTCAGAGGCACTCAACCACTGAGCCACATTCCCAGCCCTAATTTGTATTTTATCTAGAGTCAGGGTCTCACCGAGTTGCTTAGCACATCACTGTTGCTGAGGTTACTTTGAACTCATGATCCTCCTGCCTCAGCCTCCCAAGCCACTGGGATTACAAGCATGGGCCACTGTGCCTGGCTTCCAGTTTGTCCTTATTAATTTATTCTCTCTCTCTCTCTCTCTCTCTCTCTCTCTCTCTCT